TGCAAGTTCTCTACCAATCACTTCGTTTTTGACATTATATATTTCCTCACCTCCAATCTGAACCCAAGGCATGTCACACACCATGCAAGTTCTCTACCAATCACTTCGTTTTTGACATTATATATTTCCTCACCTCCAATCTGAACCCAAGGCATGTCACACACCATGCAAGTTCTCTACCAATCACTTCGTTTTTGACATTATATATTTCCTCACCTCCAATCTGAACCCAAGGCATGTCACACACCATGCAAGTTCTCTACCAATCACTTCATTTTTCATATTATATATTTCTGATTCAAACCGTGGCATGTCACTCACCAGATAAGTACTCCACCAAATGAGCTAGTGGTGAAGAATGGGGTGGTTTAAGTTGTTAAGTAGTGACAAGTGGGTTAAACATTTAACTCAGTTGGTAAATCATTTACCTAGCATATAAGAGGTCTCTGGTTCAAATCTGAGCTGAGGATATATATATTTGAACCAATAAATAATCACATTAGCGCTCAACATGGAGCCATACAATGACCCAAAAATTAGGCCCAAGGACAGACATTGTTTGTTAGAGATAAGAGTTGAGTACCAAAGGTTAGCTGGTCTGCCACATGCAGGAGGAATAGTAGACTGTTTCAGTAAGTCGAACCAGAATTGGAACTAAGCTTAGACCAGACAGAAGGTACTTTAAAATGAAAAGATTTTATATGGTAACTGTTATTAAACTATATAGGGTTTCTAATGTTGGTTTACAGAGTAGTTCATATAAATGTGAGGAATACTTGGAATTTCAAGAAATGTCTATTACCATCACTTCTTTTTTTTCAAAAAGAGATGAATATGAGGTAACAATTTCTATACAATTTTTAGTTATGATTTCGTATATTTTTTTCTTCTACCAATTTGTTCAGCTACACTGTGGGATCTTGTTAGCCCAGACATTGACAATCCAGATTATTCACAATATGGAGGATTTTTCACATAGACAAATCTTCACAATGGGAAATTTTATCAAAAAAAACATGTATTCACACTCAGAACAGCTATATATATATTTTTTTTTTATAAGAAACATGTACTTTCTACAGATATATTATTTTTACTCCATGAACACAAGCTTGAAATGTTAAATCTGTGATATGTTTCAACAGACACTACTTTCTATAAAAAATACTCACCATATACTAGAACAGTTATATCTGCCGAGTCCTCACCATACGAGTTTTTGGCAGTGATACTGTACTTGCCACTGTCACTTCTTTGGGAACAGGAATGGTTAGGCTCACATTCTCATAAGCACTTTCTAACTTGATGCGATTTGTAACTGGTATTTGTTTGTCATTAATTTTCCAGTTCACAGTTGGCTCGGGAGCTCCAGTCAGGGGTATGCTTACATTAAGAAGTTCTCCAGCTCTGACTCGAACTGTGCGACCACTATCCATATGTAGTTTGGGTTTTTCTAAGATACAGATGAAAAATATTCTGATTCAAATTAAGGAACAGATTAAATTTAGGATCATAAGTTAACACATATTTTTTCTTTAAATACTATATATATATAAAAACATAATGAAATACACATTAAAGACAACTTTTTATTGACAGCAAACTGAGAAAAAAAGGAACCCAAAAAAGTAATGATAAGATCATAACACCTTTAATATTCAAAATAAGTCAGACTTTTATTACCTCTATTAATAGCTGAGATAGGTAGCAAAGAAAACATTATTACAAATTTAACACAGTAACAAATGTACACCACTTAAAGCCATCTCTAAACTATATTAGTAAAAAAAATGGGATCCTCATCATCAAATCTATATCACCTCTATTTAACCTTCTTGCCACGGACATCTTCTTCTGCGCATGTCATGAGGCTTTAGTGAGTTGCATTCAAAGTTTAATTAAACTTTGTTATCAAGGTATACAAATAAATCTGGCATAAAAATGCAACTAATAAACCAAATTTTAATAGTATGTAAGTTTTAAGTTTAATTTTATAAGGCAATATGAAAAAAAAAATCCTGATTTTCTCCTTGTATGAGAATAGTGACATTTTCTCTCTAAGCATCCCCTCTTCTCTAATTTATTTACCACCCATCCAAGAAGTATGAAATTTAAAGTAAATTATTTATTATAATGTCATCATAACTCAGGCAAAGCATAATTCTCATAGCCTTCAGTCTTATTTAATTACAGAGCAATAAAATAGAAAATCAGACCCCTCTTGCCACACCCATCTCTCACATCCTCTCTTTTAGAAATTGCCAATAGTTCTCTCTATTGTTTAATACTATATTATTTATAACCAATCTATCAAATGACATATTATATTATGTTGTTTTTGTAAAGTGAATTGGACAATTCACTTTCGGTTCAACCTTAATTCCCACAGGATGAGATTAGATGAAGTTTTAATGGCTCTTGACGCATAGTTAGAAAGCCAGTAGAATTGTGATATATATATGGGACACTGTCTACTTTTTGCATGTTGATACTCTGTGTTCTTTGGTACATTATTTAATTATATAAAAATTATTTAGTGCAGTAGTATCATTAGTATTAAAAAACAGGGTTATGTGTCATTGACAGTCGAGGACATAAAAAAGAAGATCCACATAAGTACTTTGTTTCTTGTTTTTCATGAGTATTCTTTATTTAATATTATAATGTATCTAAAATGGAAAAATATAAAACTTCTTAGGTAAGATAAGGTAAAAAAAATGTGTATATTAATAATTTTTTTATGAGATACACTCGCGAGTAGCCTATGTGTTATGTAATTCAATATCGTACAGTAAGCTGCACATTCACCACATGAATTACAACTTATATGGTATGAATATTAGTTAGACTTGGTTCAAAGGGCAATAAAGCAATACAATTTAAGTATAAATAGATGTATACTGTTACATCTTTAGAGTTTGATAGGATAAGCAAATGTAAGTTCAATTTGAAGTCATTCTAGAAAGAAAAAAAGGTAATTTAGATTTATATAGATTTTTTTTTTTAGTGGTTACAAGGTCAGTCAATTTGATAAAATATAAAGTTTGAGTGAAAAAACTTTTGAAATGTATTTGGGAGGTTTTAGAGATCACGTAATGAAATATGAGATTTTTGAGATGAAGAAAAGTGTTTTTAATCTTAACATGAAAAATCATACTAGTAAAAAAAAAAGCAAACTTAATATATGTTTCGTCAAATCTTTAGTAAATATGCTTTTTCTGGGTACAAAAGACTTGTGATGTTTACTGAAAGTCTGCCAAATTGTATGGAAACCATAACAAGTACAAAATGGTTACAAACTCGGTCAATTCAAGCAACCCGATGGTGAGAGAGTTAACACCTCATTATCTTGTTTAAAAAACATCATGCAATATCCATACAAATTAATAACTGTTTATTTGTCTGTTATTTAGAAAAGGAAAATCACAACTCTAAGTAATTGTAGTCGTAATACAATTGTAACACCTTAATATTTAATGTAAGTCTTTATCAGCTTTGTTTAATTCCTTACATTTCATCTATGCAACTTTTATTCAGCCAATCCTGATAAAATCCTAAGGCTCTTGTTCAGGGATTAAAGAACAAGACAGGATCCAAATTTCAAAAACATGGAATTTTTTATGTGATTTATTAGGTAACTGTTGCCATGTAAACAAGTGCACAAATAATGTTTCACGTAAAAACATGGACTCTAGGGAAGAGTACTATCTAATTTATCTCAGACACAATATGTTTTTAAATGTGACATTAAGTTGTTATTTTAAATCTATACTGAAAATAGTCCCACATATTTGTAGTCAAAATAATGCATTATAATGCTGAAGGATTGTTGGAAATTGTGTAAAACCTTCAAAATTAGCCTGGTATACTTTATTACCTTTCATTGGTTTGCAGCAATTGGTTTTGAGGCCTGGCTAGGCTCACTAGAGCCTGCTGCATTCCTTGCGACAACTCTGTACTCATACTGATGCCCATCAGTCACTGTGTCGTCAGTAAACTCTGTTCCCTGTAAAACAAATTTTAATATATTAAACAACAAAAGCTAAACATTTACAAAGTAGAAACTTTGGACCATTTCATATTTTTCTCTCAGTTTTTAATAAGTTAAGATCCAAGTGACTGTTTTCAAATTAGTACATTTTCTTTCGAAGAAAATTTGTAACTAAAAACTAGCTGAAAAGTATTTCTTTACAGAGGTACAGTAGGATATAGTATTACTGATTACAAAAGACTAGTTTTCATGTAATCTTTAAAAAAAGTAAAGGTAAACTAGAATCTATTATCTGTAAGTCTTACACTTCAATTAATACAAATAGAAATTATTCCATACCTATCAGCATAAAAAAAGATGAACTGCAAACAAATAAATGTACTAACCCTAATTGGCATTTTATTAGTGCGCATCCAACGAGTAGCTTTAGTGTCTCTTCTTTCAACATCATAACCTTGGACAGGAGAGCCACCATCAGATCTTGGAGGAGTCCACTTGATCTTAATAAAGTCTCGATCATGATCCACTGGCTGTGGCTGACCAGGTGTGCCTGGGACACCTAGGCAAGACAGCTTTAGTTAACCTTTTATATTAAATGTACAATGTAAACGCAACCATTTACTATGCTTATGATTCACTTTTATAAATAAAAATCAAATATAATACCAAATTTCATTCACCACTGTATTATATAACTCAGTAAGTGTCTATGAAATTTAAAAAACTTTATAAGAAGAATACAGCTTTATGAGATTTCTAGAAAGGAGAGACTAACTAACATTACAAGAAAAATTAATCCAAATGTAAAAACAACTTAAACAAATATTTCTTTGTCAAAATTTGTAGTGCATACTGGAGGAATTTAGACATTTTGGCAATAACATTAGAAAAAAAAAGTCACTCTCCAGACAATTAACATTTCACCACTGCAGTTTGTTTGTAGTTAAGCATAAAGCTATACAATAGGCTATCTGTACTCCGCCCACCACGAGTATCAAAACACACTTTTCAATGTTTTAAATTTGCAGACATACCACTGGGGGTTACAACACTGCAGATTCATCAGGGATAATGGTACAAGTTCTAGCTTCAATAAATGTGTACATAAAATGGAACAATATATATGTATACACACAAACACAATTTAATATACTAAAATCACAAGCCTGTATGGAAATAAATGAGTGCAGTATATTATAAACATATGGCAATACATTTTGCATAACATTTCCCATAAAGTGAATTAAAAGCTGAAAATAAAGTTACATACATATTTACATACATGATTTATTCTTCATATTTAACAATTTTTCTAGTTTTTAAAAATATATTTTAATGTGTGTGTGAAACCTACAGATAAGAAAAGATAATTCACATATTTGTAATCTACTAAAATATACTGACGCAATAACTTTTTTTGATAACTTGAATACATTAACTTAAGATCAGGTATATTTATAATGCATACTTTACCATAAGGGCTTTTTGCAACAACAGGCTTAGCTGTGGCTAAAGGTTCCGATATACCCTGGGGGTTTTCTGCCATGACACGGAATTCATATGCAATGCCTTCCATTAACTTGCCAACAGTACATGTAGTTGCACTGGGTAAAACATGTAGCACAGCAGGAACCCAGCTTCCTTCATGGGTCTTGTCTCGTTTCTCAAGAATGTAGCCACTGTTGAGTAAGTTAAATAACATAGTTTCACAAATTCAGGTAGTTAATAATAACAGTGTTTTCTTAATCCTAGTCTTCTTCTCTTTAAATCAGAAATCTAATAACTGCCCAATAAGACTGAAATAATTTGTAACACAGGTTTCCATTAGGAAGAACATTTGTTTGTTTGTTTGTTTTGAATTATGCACAAAGCTACATGAGGGCTATCTGCACTAGCCATCCCAAATTTAGCAGTAAACGATTAGAGGGAAGGCAGCTAGTCATCACCACCCACTGCCAACTCTTGGGCTACTCTTTTACCAATGAATAGTGGGATTGACAGTCACACTATAATGCCCCATGGCTGAAATGACGAACATGTTTGGTGGGAAGGGAATTCGAACCTGTGACCCTCAGAGTGTGAGTCGAGCACCCTAACCACCAAGCCATACCAGACCCAGGAAGAACGTAGTAGAATCTCAACCATAAACCATGTGTGCTGCATGTTACTGCTGACAAGGCCTGTCACTAATCATTGGCTGGACAAACAATGCACAAATACTTAGTTAAAATGATATTTATATCAGTCATTTAAAAGATATCAATTATCATGTTATTGTGGCAATATACTCTAATTGTTTAATAAGATCTACAAAATGCCATCCATAGCGAGTTGATAATTGTTGTTTATGACTCATAATGTAGGTAAATTAATATATAGAATTATAAACGACTTTTCTATCAGTTAAAATTCTTTTATTGCGAGCTTTTGGCCCTCTTACCAGAGCCTTCATCAGGCAACAATGCACTGAGCAAAAACATTCATTCCACAGTTTAATCTTCCTCATCAGATGTCATAATTACAATGTGATACCTAATGGTCTAAACATTCTTAACATATTGTGAACAAGCACATCTCAACTATTTTACATCATTCAGAACCTATTCATCATACAAGAAGAAAAAGCTTTTTCTTCATAATCAACAACAAAATATAAGTGTTATAATCAAGTCTATGGTAACTGTTCAAGATTACAATAATATCATGAGAATTATTGGAATCAGTGCTGTTCGAGAATATCACAAGATCAAACACGGACAAATTAGCAAGTTTCAAAAACGTTTATTGTTATCTAAATGTGACAACTTGAAGCTTTGTATTGTCAGTTTTGGTTTGTGTTCAAATGAATGCTCCTGAATAAGCTGTAAAGTGAAACATTGAGTGTCTAAGTAAATAAATACAACATTCTGATGTTATATGGTCGTTTATTTCTAGTATAAATAGTCTTCTTTACATCAATATGCACTACAGAAACTAAGTAATGACTATGTATATCTTACCTTAGTTGAAGTCTGGGTAGGAATCACAGGACTAATCAACAACTTTAGTTTAACCCAATATATACAGACTCGGTCATTTTGACTAAAAAGTGTGCATATTACAAGCTTATACAGAGTTACATTCAAAACTTAATTAAACAATTTTATTTTCAATGTATGTTAATAAACTTGGCATCACAACATAGTTTATAATTGAAGTCTTAATATCATATCAGTGTTAATTTCATATTTTCAGAATAAAATATTTAAATTTCCAATCTTCACGTGACACTTCTACGCTCTAAACTGCCAATTTTAGATGTTCTTCCTATTTCTATGAGTTTCTATGTTTCAGACAAATTTCATACTTATACTGTAGACATCCTCAAGCTAAGATATCTATTTTTAGCCTCCAATCTTTTTGCTTTACTGAGATATATGTAATAAAATGAAACCCACATGCCACACCCCATCAGTACATTCTGGTTTCACAAAATGTCAATAATTATCTCTGAGATTTGCTATTGGATTATTTCTAATGAACAGAAAGAGAAAATTTACCGAATGCAACAGGGCCTGAAGTCATTGAGTTAACCAGTTTTGAACAATTTGCCTTCATTTTCCTTGTTTGCCAATGTTGGAACTCTGCTAGATCAGGTATTATTATTTAACCCATTTATAGATTAGGCAGAAAGTCAGGTAAATTATATAACTGTTTTAGGACATTTTATTTTATATGTGTGGCCATATTTTGTATTCTAAATTGCATATTTGATTTTAAAAAATAATAATTTGAGAGGTCACACTGTTGTTACTAAGAAGTAGGCCGAGTGTTTGATGTGAACTTACATCATATAAACACAAAAGCTTAAAAAAAAAGACAAGAATTTCAGACATAAGTACTAAATTTCTTGTTTTCTATGTATATTTTTTATCTATTGCTATGAAAGTAGATAAAATGTAAAAAATTAGGAATTTATTAGGTTAGATTAGAAAACTTAAATGAAATTAATAGCATGCACACCTTCTGTGTGTGATCATGTAACTTGATGAGTGCACCTAACTGGATACTTTGTTTACACAAAACTTTCCCACATAATAAACAGCTATTACAGTACTCTGAGAGGATCTAAGTGCAACTATAGAGAAATAAAAATAAAAAGATTGTTAACTTTGACTGTAAAAACAAATAGTGTGTAATTGTCTATTACTACATGAAGTCATTCTATGAATTATAAAGAGTAATTCAGATTCACTTGATATTTTTTTTGTGTGGTGGTTATGAGTTCAGTCATATGAACCAAATCCATATACAATAGTAGGGTAGAGAAAATATAAGGTAAAATATAAAATTACTGAAAAAATACTTCTGATATTCATTTAGGAGGTTCTAGAGGTTATGTAAATGAAATATGAAAATTGTATAATGAAAAAAAATTTATATTCTTAACATGAAAATCACCTAGCACTTGGACTGACTCAGTAAAGGCATCATAAATTTCCCACATAAATCTTTGGCAAAAGTATTTCATTTTTTGTGTAAGACAGACTTGCCATATTTACTAAAAGCTGGCTAAATTTTGTGAGAATACACTTACTACATTAAAAGTTATAGTACATATAGTTTCATGCAAAACCTGTATACAGGGGGTTAATAGTACATGTAGCTCATCTTACTTGAAGTCTGAAGTTTAATAGTGTGTATACTTTATCCTAGTTACATTGTGAGTGGAAAATGAAGGACTAATTAACTAATTTGCTTAGCTTAACACTGTGTGTATCTTTTAGTTGTAACCTTGGTAAAAAAAACACAGATGTTGCTGGAGATTCAAAACAGATGCAGCATATGGTCATAGACCATATAAAACACGGGGAATTGATTGTTGAGCATACAGTGTGTTTAACCCTTTCGCAATGAAAGCCCCTTTACATGCTTTCTGCACAAGTCACTGTGTTACATTAAACACCTATAATATCAATGTATGTGAATGAATTTAATATTATAATGTGTGTTATGATTCAAAATTTTATTTTATCCAATTTTAAGTCCCTTATTTCAAAACAAACCTTTAAAGACTACTTAAAACTTCAGAAATATTGTCACGTGGCCAATGAGCTATGAAAATTCTCTACTTTGACACTGTATCTTCAATAGTACAACGGTAGTACTGTAGAGGTACGTCTAGACAATGAGTTCCTCAGATAATCTTTTGACTCTTTCATTTCAAATTCTCTGAATAAATACAGTTGGAATAAGTAATATATTTTTTCAACCCCTGACAGCTGCCATGCCCACCTTCAACAGATTTGTTTGAGCTTTGTAGCATCCATGTAGACGTTATATATACATGTGTCTAACCATTAGAAAGAGCTCATTTTACAGTATAATCTAACAATAGTTATTTTGAAATTGGTGGCAAGTTGTCATGAAGGAGTACATGAAATGGACCACAGTATGGTTGGTTGTTTGATCGACTATAGCACTTACAGTTGTTTTTTACCTAAATTTGTTATAGTTAGACATACAGATTAAATTGTATTTAAGTATTACTATTATATTTTAGTTAATTATGTATTATTTATGCTTCAAAATGCATAATTAAAAGGTTTACACATTTTTTAAATATACATCATACTGTTCTCAAGGCTTACGATACTACTCGCTAAATGAAAATTTGGCCAAAGGGTTGCGCATGTCTCCCAAAGAAGCTGTAATATGTCTCGAGAACACCATTGACTTGTGTTGAGATGAATAATAAGTGGTAAAGGACAAGAACAGAAATAAAACATTAAAAATCAACTATATGTGAAAAGGAAAAGAACCGAAATTATGAATATAAGCAAAACAACATCTTTAAAAATATTCTACAAAAAATTAAATGGTATGTATTTTTTTATTTCCTAATTTTAATTATTTCATTGTATTGTAGATTGATTATAGTTGCTAGAGTTTGTGATATGGTTAAGAAAACGAAAAATAAAATATAAGCGTTTACCTTAATAATTGTTGATATCTTTTTAGGAGGTTCTAGAGATTATGCAAATGAAATATGAAAACTATAAGACAAAAAAAGTATTTTTACACTTGAAGTGAAAATCACCTTGCACCCAATTTGTTTATAGTTTGAATGCAAGTAACTACAACAGCAAAATAACATATTTTTAGTAAAAACACTTAATTATAAAATCATCATTCTTTGTATACAAGATACTAATGATTATTAACAAAATTTTACTAGTTTTTGAGAGGATACATTAAGAAATCTCAGAGTTACAGCATGTATTGTTGTACAAGTTAAATTCAAGACTCAATTTCTGCAAATTGCATAAGCCCACCGCGAAAGGGTTAATAGCATGTGTAATTTACGTGCTAACATCAACTACTGAAACAAAAAATGTCAAACAGGGTTAAGTTATGGTAATACTCACGTCAAATCAGTGCCTCCATTATCTTTAGGTGGCTTCCAGGATAAAATCACATGACTTCTGTCAACTTCATCAATATTTAATGGACCTTCTGGAGCAGAAGGCTTATCTGTAACAATAATAACAACACTTAGTAGTATCACATTATCAACAGCATGTTGCACAATCTTTCTTTTTTAACAAAATAATCACATACCATCAAATTAAAATATGAAGAGAAGATACATTTATGTGATTACTTTCACAGAGCTTCACTAGAATTCATCTTTTATGTAGTCAATCATCCCGATTTGGAGATTTTAAATTCACAATGCACAATGATAAATTATTCATATGGAGAATCCTAAGTTTTCTTTATATTATCTTAGTTTTTATTATAACAATATATAAAACTGTACATGGCAATCTGGTTAATGTAATACAATAATAATACATTTGTATGTGTGTGTGTGTGTGTGTGTGTGTTTTTATAGCAAAGAAACATCGGGCTATCTGCTGTGTCCACTGAGGGAAATCGAACCCCTTATTTTAACATTGTAAATCCATAGACTTACCACTGTCCCACGATGGAACAATAACAATACAATCAAACAATATATTTATAAGCACACACACACACACATAACAGCGTTCTTATTTCATAAAGTTCATAACAAATCTTGCAGTAATTAAAAGTTCAATTCAGAGAACTTAAAATACTTTATATCATTAATATTATTGCCAATAACCTTTTAATGAAAGTCAGAAAAACACAGAAGTCTAAATGAAATATTTATTAAATTTTCTCATTGCATTCCTGGGTATGTTTTTAAACTCTAGTTTTATTTGTTTGTACTTATGCTTGATTATCAGGACCCTACTAGCAGTATGAAGCACTGACTGTTATACATCTTATTCAATAATTATGACAGTCAGTGTAGCAGATTTCTAAGCACTTTTGGAAGGTTCACCCTCGAGGAAGAAAGGTTTACCATCTGAAAGCCCTTGCACTGTTGAGTTTCACGTTTCCTGCTTTATTTAGAATTTTCCAAAGTATTATAAGTCTATTTGTTTGTACTCATTTATAACACTAGGTAGCAGAGCTGTGTGACCATGTGCACTTATATTTCATGTACAACTCTATCCAACCTTATTACATACATCCACTATCACAGCTTAAGTACCAACTAACCATGAGATTAACATGTATATCATCCATTTATTCACATGCTGAAACCACTGGTCACAATATTTCATTTAACGATTTCTCTGTTATTACTACAGGACCTTGACTCTACATTTACTCATAGCTTAAGGCCACCCTGCTCTTAATGACTCACACAGCTCTCTAGATCTAAAATTATTCTAAATATACACTTAAGACTCAACTGTTTTGCAGTTTATCAATAATCTTTGGTATTTTGCTTTATCCTTCCATTTACCACTTTTCTTAATAACTAAGTTAACTAGTGATTCAAGATGTTATAGTTTTAGTTAATAATCATCTCTGTAACACTATTTTCAGATTTTGCTGAAGATAGAATGAGTGTATTATGAAACATTCAAACCTTGTAAATAAAATGTTTTGTGTTTTGTCAACCATTTTCATTATTACTTACCAAGAACTATGATATCTAAAGTTAATTTTTGTGTCTGCACTACTTCATAATACTAAATCCACAAGTAGTAAGAACCATCATACTACTTACCAAGAACTATGACTGTCAAAGTGCCACTATCTTTACCACTTTCATTTGTCACGGTCAAAGTATATGGCCCAGTATCTGATCTTCTAGTGTCTACTACATTGACAACAGTATAGTCATCAAATGCAGAGATTGTAATTCTTTCATCAGAAACCAGCTTCTTGCCATTTTGCATCCATGAAACCTCAGGAGCTGGCTGGCCAAGAAACGTGACTTCAGTATGAAGGGTGCGACCAACTTTTATTTTCATTTCTGTCATTGGAGTTAAAATTTTTGGAGCCACTAAATAAGAAAATAGAAAAATACTATATTTAAAGCTCTGAATATCAATGTAAATTATCTTTAATGATAAAAATTCGATTGTATATACACAGAGTAAGACATAATAATTCAGAAATGACTTACTTTTAGCATTTAGTGATAATTTATATAATTCTTTACACTTACAGAATCAGATTTTACCAATCATCATATAAGATGAATCACTCCTCTCAAATTTTACTTCCAAACTCTAGGTTTAACCATCACCAGGTAAAATGGATTACTTGTTTAAAACTTTACTTAAAGACTCTATGTTAAGCCATCATTAGCTCACATGGGTCATAAGGCTAATATTTTATTTACAGACTCTAGGTTTAAACATCACTAGATAATAAGGAACACCTGTCTAAGAATTTATTTAAAGATTCAAGGTTTAACCATCACTGGATAAAATAGATCACTTCTTTAGTTTTATTTACCAATAACAATAACAAAGTTTAGCCAGCACTAAAAAAAGATGGATCACTTGCCTACGATTTACCTAAAGAATCAAGATTTAACCATCACTAAGTAAGATGGATCACTTGTCTAAAGTTTTACTTTCAATAACAAAGTTTAACAAGCACATAAAAAGATGGATTACTTGTTTTAGATTTTACCTAAAGAATCAAGGTTTAACCATCACTAGATAAGATGGATCACTTGTCTAAGATTTTACTTACAGAATCTAGGTTTAGCCGTTATTATCTCAGATGAGTCACTTGGCTCACTCTCACCAGCCCTTATTTTTGGCAATCACACGAAATTCATAATCATTCCCTTCTACAAGATCAGGTACAACAGCTTTAGTTGAAGAAGAAGGTACCTCTGCAGCCTTAGTCCAAATAGGGGAACCACGTTCTTTCTTTTGAATAGTGTATTCAGTAATAGGGGAGCCACCATCTTCCTTTGGTGGGCTCCATTCTAGGTCAACCCGATCTTTGTCCCAGTCAGTTACTTTAGGTTTACCTGGTTTGCTTGGTTTTTCTAAAAAATAAAATAAAATTTCAACATTAAAAAATTCCAAAGAAACAAATTAAACATACATGGTTCCCACACGTTGGGTAGAATGAAATTCTCTGCTGATTGACTTTCATACATCGTTCCCTCAACAAAGTGATTTATTCCCTGACCATTTGATCTATGCTTGTAATTATTTTTATTTTTCTCATTTTCTGGGGAGAGGGGGGGGGGGCTCTTGGCCCTCCCTGTGTATGTCCATGATCTCTACCATTAGTATAAAAAAAGAAGTGTTCAGTGTCTTCGACAATTGACTGCAAAACAATAGAAGATCCAGGGGTAAGTATTTTATGTCTTGTTCTTCATGTGTATTCTTTATTCATTATTATAAAAGTAACTAAAATGTAAAAATAGGAATCTCTTTAGGTTACTTAAGGTTGAATTAGGTAAAATAAATAATAAAAATAATAAAATAAAATTTTTTTACAGGGCACGCATGGGAGGAGTTTGGAGTAGCTCATGGGTAATTTTATAGGATAACGTGAGCTCCATAATAACTCATAATAATGTGAACAGTAGTTATACATGGTTCAAAGGGCAATAAAACAATGAAATCTAACTATAAACAGATATATACTTTAAGCTACTTAGGATAAAAAAATGTAGTTTCATGTTACAATTTGAAGTCATTCAAAAAAAAAACAATTTAGATTTAGTTAGGTTAGAGAAAATAAAAGATAAAATATAAAGTTTTAGTGAAAACAAACATTTGAAATGTAATTATGAGGTTTTAGAGGTTAAGGAAATGAAATCTGTGATTTTTTATATGAAGAAAATTATTTTTAATCTTAACATGAAAATCACTTTGCACTCGGACTAGCCAAAAAAATATCCGACATATTCATGACTTTTTTTAGTTTATTAAAAATATGTCACTAAAAAATCTGATTTTTTTTATAGGTGAAAGACTTGTAATGTTTATGGAAAATCTGCCAAATGTTGTGAAGATACACATCCTATATCAAAAGTTAATAGTATCACAACTATAACAAATTTAAATAAATTCAAAGTGGTCATGTGATCGGCCAATTCGACCAAGCCTATGTAGATAGAGTTAATAGACAAGACACACTCTATGTTAAGAATCACAGTTTGATCAAATATCATCTTGTAAAGTTTCAATTTGATCGGTCATGTTGTTTTCAAATTAGTGATATTTTATCAGAATATACACAACAGAGGCAGTTTATCCATTTGTTTATGTACAAAATGTACATATTGGCATGCTAAATGTGCTAGAAGAAAAACTTAATCACATGAAATTCACTGTTTTTGTCAAAATGAAATTCCACGATGTTTCCCAGGCCAAAAATGCAGAATATCTCTGACTGTTCTTGCATTCCCTGGTCCATGAGAACAATGAACAGATGATAGAATAGAGCTTTTAGTGGTTTTGAATTTTTTATCAATTTCACAAGAAAAAAGAACACGCTACAATTCTGAATAAAGTAAAATTCACAGAAAGCTATTAATATATATCAGTATAACAGAATAGCGTATTCAGTCTGCTGATAATAATAATCTCTTTACATTAATATCTTCTCATGAAAATCGATTTAAGAATACAGATTAAAAAACAACAGTAGCTTATAGATTAATAAAACCAGTCACAGATAACAAGCTGAATAGAAGTACTTAATGTTATAAATCAATACACGAAATTGGATACCCTAATTATCAACAGGATTTTCCTCCATAATCCTAACAACATTTCACAAGACTCAACCAACATAGGAGATTTAGGCTAGTTCTAAACACATATACCAAACCAAGCAAAAATAACCTTCAAGTATGTAAACAACAAGTTAAAATATTATTCTAAACATTATAACCAATAATATTAATGAAACTAACTTTGCTTACTACTGTTATATGAATGTTTAATTGGAACTGAATAATCTACAACATCTTTCAGTAACTATGTATACTTGAACTGAAACTTAGTTCATGGATATTTCTACAAAAAAATTGGTAATTATTTACACATTTCAATATGAACTTGCCATAAGGATCTTTAGCTGTAACTGGTTTATCTCCAGCCAGAAAATCAGAATCACCGATTTCATTCATGGCACAAACCCGAAATTCGTAAGTCTTTTTGTGAATTAGTTTCTGGACTTTATAGGTAAGCTTATCTGTCTTGCCAACCTCCACCCAAGTTCCACGGGATATATCCATCTTCTCAATGATGTAGTACTTAATGTGAGACCCACCATCATCTTTAGGCACCTTCCAGCCTAGTTGTGCAGAATTTCGGGTGATATCAGTGATGGTGAGTGGGCCTTCTGGAGGTGATGGTCGAGCTAGTGAAATATTGACCAAGTTGTTGGGTCAAAAGATTAACAATTTAATTATTTTTGACAAAATTAAATCAAAATATATTATTATAACACAGTTGACAACTACAACAAATGACTATAACACACCACACAGTTAATAAATACAACAATGAGCCAAGATGAACACAAAATGTAATACTATAACACACATTTGATGACAAGGAACCCACTTTGAGACTAATAATGCTTGGAGACAGTACCATCAGGTACCATGATGATGACAAAACCTTGTCAAAACCCATTCAAGCTGCCTCCAAACATTACTATAACACACAGTCGAAAACTACAAAAACAGGACCAAGATGAACACAGAATATTCCACAGCCATCTCACAAGCAAAATTATTTTTTAAAAAGCAAAACTACTTCCATATTTTAGTCAGTATGCAAAACCTTGACCACTTATTTTTTGTATTTTCAAAATGTATCAAGCAGTAGCTGAACTTGTACTTTAGTAATAATAGGTCAATATTTTTTCTGTTCACTCTGTACTAATGTACTTGCTTTTCTTGATTAGTTTCAAGTAATAATATATTTTTTTACTGACAGAGCTATTCTTACTTTATAATAGCATACCTATGACAGTAACTATAGCTGATGCACTTGTCTTTCCTGATGTGTTTTCCAGTGTTAATGTATATTTTCCACTGTCAGAGCGAAATGATGAGTGAATATCCAGGATAGTCTGACCAGCAGTAGATGTCACTTCAACTCTTGGATTTCCTATTACAGATTTGTCATTGATATACCATGTGATTGAAGGTGTAGGCTCACCTCGGACAGGAACTGTGTAGCTTATAGGACGACCAGCACGCACCTTTATGTCCTGCAGGGCTGCTTTATCTAAGGATGGAGCCACTACACAAAAAATAATAAAATGAGATAAAAGAAAAGGCTTAAACTTAAAAACATTAAAACACCTACTGGCCATGTAAGGCTATTTTAATAAATTTCTACAGAAGATTAGTAGACAGACACTAGTTTAATTATAATACTGTTAATATTTTATTGCTATGGATCTTGTGTGATTCAGAAAAATTTAACTATATTTTATTAGCACAGGCATGCAAGAAATATACAGAATCAGGTTATTTCTTTTATTTTATAAACTGAACAGAGAATAGCAATAATTCCAAACTTACAAAAGCGTGGTTTTGCAACAACAGGCTGAGATGGATCACTGGGTTCACTAAGGCCAGCCTTGTTCACAGCAATAATACGAAATTCGTATTCTTCTCCTTCCTTAAGATCAGGAACTTTAGCTTTGGTTGCATCACTAGGGACTCTCATAGCCTCTTCCCACAGGGGACTTAGTTTAGGTTTCTTTTCAATGACATAAGTGGTTATTGGAGCACCACCATCACGTCTAGGAGGTCGCCATTCAAGGTCTGCATGACCTTTGTCCCAGTCCACCACTTCTGGTGCTGCTGGTTTATCAGGTTGATCTATGAAGAAAAAAGTATTTAAAAAGTTATGCAGGCCCCTCAAGTACAGAGAAAAATATATACAAAAAGGTTTGTATTACAATCTCATGTTTCTGAAATATGTATGAAATATATCACAAAATTTAATAACATTACTTTTCACTACATACATTACATACAGTATGCTTTAATGTACAAGATAAGGATCATTAAGGAATAGAAGTTGAAATAAAATCTAAATAGTGCAAGATAAACAATGTGATAAGAATGTCTAAATTTTAACAGTTTTTTCTCAAGAGAAAGTATTTGATGAGGGAAAATATGTTTTAACTTGTATTCACAATAAGAAAACTTACAGAAAGCTAGTTTCCACATTCACTTTTACATGACAAAAGTAACATTGGACACTGATTACTGTTTGTAGTTAAGAAGAAAGCTACACAAAGGGCTATCTGTGCCCTACCCACCACGGGTATCGAAACCTGGTTTCTAGCATTGTAAGTTCACAGATATATTGCTGTACCACTGGGGGCCATTGATTACTGTAAATTATTGAACTGTATATTGATTACTTACCAAATGGATTCTTTGCAGTAATGGGATCTCTATCAGTCAGCCATGGTGACTCACCCTCCCGACTCACAGCTTTCACACGGAAAGTATACTCATGATTTTCTATAAGTTTATCAGCTCGTATTTTGGGGTCACCATTTTCTCCAACTGGCATCCATCGGCCCATCTCTACATCCTTTTTTTTCCACCACGTAATGAGATATCTCACATCCACCATTATCCTTTGGTGGCCTCCATGTTAGCCAACAGCTTTCCTTAGTAATTTCAGATATGTACAAGTTCTGAGGAGCACTTGGTACATCTAGAGACGAAAGAGAACTCCTAGTAAGAAAACAACTCCAACTGATTACAACAAATTAGGCACTTCAAAAAGACTCTAGCATGTAATTTATCAACATGTAATCACTGAGATAAAATGTGTATAGGACATTTCTGGAAAATGATTTTAATTTGAGTTATGATTATGGAACCTAAAAACAATTATAGTAATTACTAAATAGTTGTTTCCTTAATTATTTTTTGTCACAAATTTCTATATACTACATATACAAATATTTTTGATTTATTGATTTCCTTCACAGAGATACAAGAATTCTTAATACTCACCTAACACAATTACAGTTACTTTTTCACTGTCTGAACCATTTATGTTTGTTGCTGTAAGGTTCAAAGTCCCACTGTCACCCCGTTCAGCATTGCGAACACTGATGCATGTTTTATAGTCTTCATGCTTTATAGTCCACCTTCTTAATCCATCCACTGGTTTTCCTTCCAGCGTCCACTTCTTGGTTGGAGGAGGTTCACCTTGAACTGGAACATCCAATTCAAAGCTTTTGCCAGCCTTGATACGAATGTCATTCATGGAATTGCGATCAATTCTAGGTGCCACTAAAAAATACAAATAAAAGGAATTTTACCAATTTTGCTATCATAAGAATATAGTTTATTTTAAAACTGTCTAAACATCTTTGCAGATAAGGATTAATGTTCTACTAAACATTGTAAAACTTGTTGATGAAAGCTTTGATATCAATAAAGAAGCAAAAAAGGTATTCTGACTGTGATACTATTTCACATTTTTTGGCAAGATCTCTAAACTAGACAAGTAACCTCACTTCTCTCCTGAACTCTCTAACCTACACAAATCTAACATTAATTTCAACCATGAAATACCTCTAATACATCCAAGTCTTAGACCTCTCTTATCCAGACAGAGCCTCTAACTTAATCAATACTCAAACCTCTCCTACCCAGACTGAAGCTTTAACTTAGCCAACATTCAAACCTCTCAAACCCAGATTGAGGCTCTAACTTGTCCAACACTCAAACTTCTCCCCAGACTCAGGCCCTAACTTAACCAACACTCAAACCTCTCCTACCTTGACAGAAGCTTTAACTTAGCCAAATTTAACTCATTTGTCACCTATCTAGACAGGAATACCAACCTAGTCAAATCTAAACCAAATCATTCCTAATGATACAGGAGCACTAATTTTTACTAAACAGGCAGGAACCCCAGTGTAACCAGGTATCACATGTCTCCTGACCAAACAGAATCTCTAACATCAATTCTGCTCATATCAAATTAAAAGGTGACTGGAGTTTTCTCTTCTCCCTAAGACAAGATACAATTATTGTTAGTTAATACAGTCAACAAAACCCTTGAATTCATTTTCATGCAAAGGCAAGTGTTAGGTAACCAGTCATATAATCTGGATTTTAAAATGTTAGAGTCATCAACTGATTTTATTAAGCCCGCGCACAAGAACTGTCAGTCAAATACATTGTAGAAGACCTGAAAGAGTAGATTGTTGTTCAACACACTGACAGATGATTGCTGTTTGAAAAAATGACTTCAATACAACTAACAGGCCTCAGTTTCCCAACTGACCAATTTAAGAAGCAACAAGATAACAAGTTAGCATACATATCATCAGAAACAAGTTTTGCAACTTTGGCCTTTACACTATGTATTTCTCAACCCATCACTACAAAGCACCTTGTCTTCACTGAATTCAAGAAACAATTAAGTTTGTGTAATGGCATGTGAGTAAATGGTTCTCTCACAAATGAACCATTTTACACATATTTGAAAAGTGGCCAGGACCAGATCTACTTCCAATTTAATGGAAGAAAAGCATGTATGTGGCAGAGGTGAGAAATTACACTAAGTATATGGTCACAGAGATCTTTGTGTGGTACAATATGGCAATATTAGTTTTGTACAGTTAAGGGGAGTGAAAATTCTTCTAATGGATGTCAACATGAACTCAACTGGTCAGCCAATTGCTGAAATAAGAGGGTAACAAGACAATGAACTATTCACCACATTCACTGGATTTGGAAATATCTACATATGTATGCTCTAAGAAGACCCTTTGCATCAATGATTCAATTCCAAGCAGAGCTGATGAATTGACAACAACTCTGATGGAGAAGTGGGCGATCTAACACAAGTAAGTCCTTCACACACTGAAACGTGTAACATCACTGCAAAGTATTGTTGATTAACTGAAAGCAACTCCAATGGAGAATAGGGCCAGCTAACCCAAGTGACTCATTCACACACACTCAAACATGTAACTTTTAGATGGCCCACTTTTCCATCAGAGTTGCTTTCAGTTAACCAACAATATTTGGCAATGATGTTACAAGTTTGAGGGTGTGAACTTCAATTAACCAACTCTGCTTGGAGGTGATGAACAAGCAACTCATTCACACACTCATGCATGTAACATCACCTCCAAGTAGTGATAATGAATTGGAAGCAACACTTATGGAGAAGTAGGCCATTTTACCCAAATAACTCATTCACACATTCAAACATGTAACATCACCTCCAAGCAGTGATAATGAACTCAAAGCAACCATTATGGAGAAGTGGGCCATCTAAAACAAGCAACTCATTCACACACTCATACATGTAACATCACCTACAAGTAGTGTTGGTTAACTGAATGCATCTCTGATGGGGAAGTGGACCATCTAACCCATGTTACTCATTCACACACTCAAATATGTAACATCACCTCCAAGCAGTGATAATGAACTCAAAGCATCCATTATGGAGAAGTGGGCCATCTAACCCAAGTAACTCATTCACAAACTCAAGCATGTAACATCACTGCAAAGTAGAGCTGGTTAACTGAAAGCAACTCTGATGAAGAAGTGCACCATCTTACACAAGTAACTCATTCAAGCACTCAAACATGCAACATCACGCTATGAATGACATTAGTGTCTAAGAAGATCATACGACTTATTAACAAATATCTTCTGATCATTTATTTGGCTGATATCTGTACACACAATAACATATATACCCATATCATATCACATGGCTTGTCACCTGACATATGTTTCAAATAAAAATTATCTCAAGGTGCCATTGTCTTTATTTAATAAAAGCAGTTATCTTTTGTCATAACTACAATACAGTTATCCCTTAGTTGTTTTGATTAGCATTAAAGAATATTTAAAATACTGGATTCCTAAAAGTTTGATTATAAAAAAAACAAGACTACACATATTAAAATTAATTTTCAAAATAAAAATCACAAAAATTGGAAACAATCACTGATTTTTATAAAAAAAATTTCTTAAAACTAAAACTACACGGTTATTCCTTACTACATTCAAAATACGTAAAGATGAATAATATGTATCCTAACAGTATAAGTATAATCTACTTCTTTCTTTGTCATGCACAGTATAAGACTGTTACACAATGAAAAATTCCTCCTATAACATAAACATCACAACTTTTAACCTACTGTTCTTTGGCCTGGCAACATGAGGAACCGTGGCATCACTGGGAATCCCAGGACCACCTTTGTTCACAGCTCGAACTCTGAACTCATACTGACTGCCTTCGTCCAGGTCAGTAACCTTAGCCCTTGTTTCACTAGCTGACACTTCCATTACTGGTATCCAATCAGGACTAGGTAGTAAAATAAATTCATAATTCAGGTGCTTTTTAATGTGAATTGTATAATTCAGGTTTCTATAATGCTGTATAAGATGAAGTGTGTAATTCAGATGTTTAAGCTGTTGGGTATGATAAAGTGTTTAATTCGAAAATGTTGGATATGAGGAAGTATGTAGCTCTGCTATTTATGATGCTAAATAAGATGAAGTGTGTAATTCAGATGTTTAAGATGTTGGGTATGATGAAGTGTTTAATTTATTATGTTGGATATTATGAAGTGTGTAGTTCTGCTATTTATGATGCTAAATAAGATGATGTGTGTAATTCAGATGTTTAAGATGTTGGGTATGATGAAGTGTTTAATTTGGATGAAGTGTGTAATTCAGATGTTTAAGATGTTGGGTATGATGAAGTGTTTAATTTGGATGAAGTGTGTAATTCAGATGTTTAAGATGTTGGGTATGATGAAGTGTTTAATTTGGATGTTTATTATGTTGGATATTATGAAGTGTGTAGTTCTGCTATTTATGATGCTAAATAAGATGATGTGTGTAATTCAGATGTTTAAGATGTTGGGTATGATGAAGTGTTTAATTTGGATGTTTATTATGTTAGATATTATGAAGTGTGTACTTTGGGTGTTTATTAAGTTGGATACAATGGAGTGTGTAATTTGGCATTGATTATGTTGGATATGAGGAAGAGTGTAATTTGGATGTTCATTATGTTGCATATAATAAACTGTTTAATTTGGATATTGATTATGTTGGATATGATGAAGTGTGTATTATGTTAAATACGAAGAAGTGTGTAATTTGGGCATTAATTATGTTGGATATGATGAAGTGTGTAATTTGGGTGTTCATTATGTTGCATATAATATGTAATTTGGGTGTTTATTATGCTGGATATCATGAAGTTATAATTTTCCTATACTGAAAATGTATTTCCGATAGGTACTTCCCTCTACTCACAAGATTAGCTATTCTCGTTTATTGCTGCCCTCTAAATGCAAACTTTTTATTACACATGCCACAAGAGATGGTATGATGAGGATCATACCATTTTCACCGCAAACCCAAGAACCGGGGAATTGAAAAACACTCTAATTCTTTGGTATTACAGGAGATTAACTCTGAGCTATAGATTCGGGAATTCAACATCTGGTATCAAAAGGAAACCTACTGCATACAATTAACTCCAGCAACCGTAAAACAGGTCAAGACCATCCAAAGGGCAAGAACGAGGGAGAGTCAAGGATAGAACCGGAATAATCCCACATATCCCTGCTGTGACCCACAACACAGGAGGAGGAAATGAAGGGAGGAAGATAGACAACCCTAAACCTGTGTGAGGACTTATGTTGCTTGGTTCACTTGAAATACAAAAACCAGCCCATGGGGTACCGACATCCACACAAGGGTAGAAAGAGGGCTTCCAATTGAAGGGTTGAACTGCATTTTGAAATCTCACCCCATTGAAAACACTGGCAGAACACCACCACCCTACTCTGAACTGAATGGTTAGAGCCATTTTATGTGGAACCCACCATGACCGACCATCCCAGAGGCTTGGAACTGGTAAGTGGTAAGGACTCCCATACTCCAATAGAAGAAAAGGGGGGCTGAAAATGAGTTGAAGAGCCCAGAGGTACATTGACACCCGAGACAGTGCAATGGGTGAACACAAAACCCTAGTTTTAAAAGCAGACCATACTGATATATTCAATCAAGGCATGGCAGGGATGGGCAGCTATCCCCTTGAAGTCCATGAGTGGTACGGTCTGGGACAGACCAATTTATAAAGCAAATATTGTGAGGTTATTCACCTACAAGCGATCTTGTGAAACACCCCATCTCAAAGGTAAGTGCACGAAGCCATGGAAAGAAAAAACGCTAGTCAACATGGCATATAGTGTGGATTTAGAGGTCAGACATGACTCACCACAGAGTGGGACCCATGTAATGAAGGTATGAAGAATGGGCCCCAGAAAATAAAGAAAATATTAATAAAGACTTACCCAGTGTCAGAGTCGCATCGAAGTCTGAAGTACAGCCACAGGTGGAAGGCAAAAACCTGAGGAAGCCAAAACCGCGATATGATGTAAGTAATGGGAGATGAATGTGTTAGGGTTGGTCCACATGCCCAACTGTAGGATTTCCTCCAAATGCCAATGAAGACGATAAGCAAGGGAAAAGGTGAAGTGTTGGATTTGATGAGAGGTAACACAGAACAAATTATGGTGGGAAGAGGACAATGAAGAATAAGTCAACTGGATCAAACGAAGAACCCAATTAGTAAGGGTAAAAGGGAGTGATCTCTGGATGAAGAGGGTTGCCACGGGATAAAGAGATGGAAACTGGAACCACAAAAGAAAGCCATGCAGGCAATATAGCAAAGAACATAGAAGTTTATCCAGATCAAAACATGGGTAGAGATGAGAAATAGAGGAAAGAGAAATAGGCAAAAAGAAGGAGTTACCCTCATGAGCCACCAAAGTTTTGGGAAGGAAGGAACAATCTGGATAAAGGAGAAGATAGTTATGGTGGTAAAGTGTGTGTGAGATGTTGATGGTGAACAAGTCAGACCGTTGATGCCCACAGGCACAAAAGAAGGAAATGCACCTTAAGGGACAGGTGAGACAAAGAACATGAGGAAATAGGTTTGAACGGAGGTAAGGTAAGGGAATGGATGACCACATTAATGTACAAATCTGGAAGAGCAGATCACAGAATCTGGAAGGAATGGATTAACATGGTAAAGATGGGTAAAAGAAAAACCCTATGGTAATGGGAAAACTGAAATGTATGGGATAAAGCTTCCTGATAACCTGAAATCGAGCAGACAGAAGACCCCCAGTCAAAAAGCCATGTGAGAAACTTGGAGATATCAGCAACCATAGAATGAGCAGCAGGAAATCCCTGAGCCTGGGCCCATGCGTGAAAGACCTTCCACTTTTGCTGATACACTTTCATCGAGGAAGGATGGATGGATTGAGCCAAATCTAAAGCTACATGACAGGAGAAACCAGAACTCCTCACCAAGGACCAGACAAAAGCCGGGCATGAAGACAGAGGATGTGATGTGCAGGATGCAGAACTGATGACTAGGGTTGATGAAGGAGGTTGGGTAATAATGGAAGTAGTACAAGAGGGTATAATTGTAGTTGGAGTAAACAAGGAAACCATGGTGGACAAGATCTTTCCGAGATGGGAATATGCAAATACGAATTGGAGACATCCATCTTGGTACTCCAGAGACCCAGAGAAAATGTCCACCAAAGAGTGAGGTAGGACTCCATGGTGAAACGTGGAAGGTAAACAAATCAACTGATGACAGGCCTCCAGTCCTCGGTCTTTTTGGGAACAACAAACAGACGGGAGTAAAACCCCAGTGAATGATGTGGAAGAGGTTCAATAGCCTAGTAGGTGAGGAGACCCTGTACCACCACTGATAGACACTGGAGAAAGGAAGAAAACAGGTACCTGAGAAGAGGGAGGTGGGGCAAGAAATGGAATTTTGAGGCCCTCTGACAAAACCTGAAGAGCCCAATCATTGGTAATGAAAGAATGCCAACAATGAACGAAGGCCGCAAGTTGAGCTCCCACCAAGTCTAAAACCACCAGATAGTCACCAGAACTGGTGGCGGTGTATCGTGTGTTGTTGAGAAAAATGATGAGTGGTGGCACTGCGAAAAGGAGGGACAGGTAAGGGCTGGGAAGGAGAAAGACGGGAAACTGGAATTTGTGCCACACTCTGCTCCAACTGAGATGAACAGGCTACCAGATGGAAAAAGGTAGATTGTTGCTGGACACATGCCACCCAAGACTCCAAGGACTCTGGGACCATATCAAAGATGAAACATCTTAAAAACGGAGCCATACACAAATCTCAGAGATAAGGAGCAGGTAAACGGGTTCTTGATAAAACTGCATCATGACCTGAATAGTCCCAACAACACATAAACCACGTTTGTAAAGCCAGAGCCAAAGACGACAAATGACTCAACGTGAAGGTTAGGAGGGAGAGGATGTACCAGAAAATCCCTCAGGATTTCTGTGAAGAGCCACAGATAGGAGATGAATTGTGGAAAGGTACTGCAAAAGAGTCATGAGGGTAAAATGGAGGCGGGAAAATTGGGTATGGGTGAGACTAACAGAAGAATCGGAGCCTCCCCCCCAGACAGGTAAAACCGAACCCAACAGTTGTTGGTCAAGATATGGACAGTTAGCCCTATGAAATGTGAAGGCAGACTGATCCGAAGCCCATGGGGGATGAGGATGAGACACACTAATGTCAGTGCCCACTGAGAGGCAAATTGTTTGGTACGGGTCATAAGAAACGGGAGGAAGGGATAAAACATCACATACCTGAAAAATAAAGTGCGAAAAAATATGGAAGGCCGAACAGAATCCTCAGGAAGAAGACACAGCAAATTCAGAATGTAAAAACAGGCAATCAAAATCCCCTTCGGCCTGCCCAGGTTCCACGGGTTCAGGAGGAAGTGGGGCAATGTCTGGAGATAGAGGATGACCCATAAAATGTTCAATCTCCCTGCAAATAAATGTAGACAAATCTCCTGACAGGTCACCAGCACCTGAAGCCTGTGGTAAAGCACCTGTCAATTGTAAGACACCTGAAGTGGAGGCATTAACTTCAAATTCATGTTGTATCAGTCGAAAAAAGCATTTGAAGTAAGAAATATATGCGATTAGAACAAAGGTAATTGGACCGATATGCTTTAAAAAAACAACTGAGTATGTGAGATGAAACCACTTTGAGAACAAATTCAAATTCAAACACTAATCAAGATGAAAAAAAAAGAAAGACGCTGCCAAACGAGAAGTAGTAGTTTGGGAAAAGGCACAAAGAGGAAGTCACGTGCGTCTCATGAGTGAACTATTCTCCTAATGGTGGAGAAGTGATGCATGATGATTTGCATGATAGACATGTAGGAATCATTTGATTCCAATAGGGGGTGGTGCAGAAGGCTTGTGGCATACATAATAAAAAACGTTTGCATATAGAGGGAAGCAATGAACGAGAATAGTTAATCTTGTGAGTAGAGGGAAGTACCGTATCAGTGTGTAATTTGGGTGCTTATTATGTTGCATATGATGAAGTTATCTTTAGTATAAACATTACATACAAAATCATATAAAATAACATAACATAAGCAAAGCAGGTAGCTATATAGAGTTCTATCTACTTCTGTTTGTCTTGCTTCTCCAGAATGTATCCAGTGAGAGGAGAACCACCATCACTTGCTGGAGGCTGCCATTTCAGTTTCACAAAGTCCTTGTCATAGTCTTCAATCTCTGGAGTCTCCGGTTTGCCTGGTTCATCTAGAATACAAAATTATGAGAGAGATAAAACCTTGCTTAATGATATTTATCAGTACACACTCAATATCTGAATGCCAAGAGTAAATGATCTTGATGCTGCTAAAGATAATAAAGTACTTGATTTTCTTTATTGTCAGTACATATCTTTCCAAACATTAAGTGTTTCATCTTTAACACATAGCTGTAATTTATACTTACTCTCCACTCAAAAAAGTACTACTACATTTTCATGTCAACACAAATGTTCAGTGAAACTTTTGGGTAAATATAACATCTACAGGTTAATAAAATTATGTCATACAGTATCACATAAGTTTACAGAACAGAAATGTTGTAAACAGATTGAATGATATAATACCAGAAGCAACTAATTCAACTAATCAGTTGTGTTTAACTAGATACAATGTGACCACCATATAAGTGATCAGTTTATATAATACAGATGTAGTAAGCAGACTGAGTGATATAATACCATAAACAACTAGTTCAACTGATCAGTTGTGTTTAACTAGATGCACCACAAGACTCGTGTATAAGAGAATAAGGCATCACCATCCTTCTCATGTTAACACTAATACAACCTATGTTTGCCTTTAGACTTCCTTCTATAAATATAAGCTTCCATACATCTAAGAACGTAATATTCTCTAGATAAAACAGTGACTAACCAAATGGATTTTTGGCTTCAGTGACTTTATCTGTTTCCAAAGGACCTGACTCTCCCTGTCTGTTTACAGCTCTAACTCGGAATTTATACTTTTTCCCAAGCTGAAGACCTTTAACCTATAAATAACAGAAGACCACATGTATAATTATATTATTCAATTATATTTTCTCAGCAGTAAGTTATATATTAAAAGGACACAACATTAGAAACATATGTAGAATCCAAACCATAATAGTTTTTTGTATAGTAAATCAATGTAATACACTCCATCTAGGAAATAAATGAAAATTTTAACAAAAATAACGTATCACCAAATCATTAATGCTGACTTCTTGTAACTAAGGGAATGCTCAGAGACACATTCTAACAATGACTTTTTGATACTAAGGAAAAGTGTAAATCTTTATAATGTAAACTTTAGAGAACTAAGAAAATTTGTTAGGTGTAAGAGTATGATTTAAATTGAATGTTATTTTTCAATAATTTATTGATATTTTATGAAACAATTTTCTACTGATAGTCATATTTCAGAAGAACAGAAAATTAATCAGCAAACTGATTATCTAAAAGAATGAATAAACCCAACCATTTGTTTTGGCACATCCATACACATTGAAACTAACCTTCAAGGAGGTTTCTGGTCCAACAGTTTCACCAGCAGGTATCCATTTGCCAGATTCAGTGTCCATTTTCTCAACATTGTAATGATCAATAGGAACCCCACCATCGTCCCCTGGTGGGTTCCATTTTAGTGTACATCCTTCGGCATGAACATCATCCACTTTCAGAGGACCAGCAGGTGGAGAAGGTTTATCTTGATGGAAAATACCTCGTAAGTTAAAACAACAACACATACTTTTACCTTCTATAGACACTGAGAGCATATAAATTAATGTTCTTTAGAAGTAAGGTATTTTCAAGTGCGGAAGAATGTGTTTAAATTATCCAGTTATATAGAAATCAGGTCACCAGTATGCTTACGTTTAAGACTTCCTTCTAGAAGTATGCCTTCTCTGTGATAGAAATAACATCACCAGCAAAAGTGTTTTTTTATTACTTTGTAGAAAATATTATTGTTCTATCTGTAAAAGATCTTATAAATACTAGTTCACTCCATCTAAGGCAATACCTAGTAAGATAAAGTTCCACAGAAAAATATATTTAATAACTTAGTAGAATGATCTAAAAAATGCTAGATGATTTATCAGATTTTTATATTACCAATTGTATATGGCCTTGATTCTTAGAAAATAGAGAATAACCATTTCTACTATAATAAAGATACTTAGATCAGTCCTACAGAAAACTAAGAATAACCATTTCTACTATAATAAAGATACTTAGATCAGTCCTACAGAAAACTAAGAATAACCATTTCTACTATAATAAAGATACTTAGATCAGTCCTACAGAAAACTAAGAATAACCATTTCTACTATAATAAAGATACTTAAGTAAAGTTTGTTCTCAATAAGTGTTTTTTTTGTAGGCCTGATCTAAGTATCTTTATTATAGTGGAAGTGGTTATTCTTGGTAAGTGGTTTTCTGTAAGCCTTATCTAAGTATCTTTATTATAGTAGAAGTGGTTGTTCTTGTGAAGTGGTTTTCTGTAGGCTTGATCTAAGTATCTTTATTATAGTAGTAAAGTTTGTTCTCAATAAGTGTTTTTTTTTGTAGGCCTGAACCTGCGGAAGTTGTTGTTCTTGTAAGTGGTTTTCTGTAGGCCTGATCTAAGTATCTTTATTATAGTCTCTGTAAGTGGTTTTCTGTAGGCCTGATCTAAGTATCATTATAGTAGAAGTTGTTATTCTCTGTAAGTGGTTTTCTGTAGGCCTGATCTAAGTATCATTATAGTAACAACTTCTACTATAATGATACTTAGATCAGGCCTACAGAAAACAACTTACCAAGTACAACCACTTCTACTTGAGCTTCATCCTTTCCATGTTCATTAACAGCTGTGATGGTGTACATTCCACAGTCTTCTCGCCTGGCCTGACGTACAGAAAGCTTAGTGTTATTCGGTTCACTTACAACCTTCACTCGGTCTGAGGATGTCACATTTCTATTTCGTAGTTTCCACGTTGTCTCTGGGGCTGGCTCCCCAATTACATTCACATCAAAATTGAACGAATGTCCTGCTTTGATTCGGACTTTATACAGACTAGTCTGTTCTATCTGAGGTGGTACTGAAAGAAATTCCACAGTAAAAATAAATAAAACAACTATACACTCCAGACATCCATATGATAATATGCCACTGTTAAATGAATAATTTAGTCCTTTACATTTGAAAAATACACAAGAACTGTAAATACCACATGCCAAACAGTCAATGGGGGTTCTTGCATGCTGACGCCATCCCACCAAAGATGACATGTACCTGTGATACGTCATTTTCATTACATGATATATATATTTCTGAGTGGTCACAGGTACCACATTTTCTTGGGGACACTTTGAATATGTAACTGAGACCTTATATATAACACCCACAAGATGGCATCACAAACTATATATACTTTACAGCGACACTACACTCTTCACTCGTGACCTGATGCATGCAGGTTTTTCTAACTGAAAGTTAAGAATTAAATTTTGTCTTCTTTCAACATTCAAACGTTGTAAACTAGTTTTGGTATGAGAAATACTTTTTGTAATGTCAGAGAATTACATAAACATTTAAATAGGGCTGTTTGACCATTTACAGATTTAATAATTTTGAAATTCTTTATACATGGGTGATAATGAATCGATTACACTCTGCAATTTTGCTAGTCAGTAAATTCCCATAATATATTTAAAACAAAATCATATCATATTGGTTATTTTCCGTAATGAAGCCTAGTGTCAAGGGATTAACATGTAGACAATTTACATACTGACACAACATGATAATTTCCAGAGATTTTTTAGAGCTCATGTATTTACCATATATATTATTTTCATTTTGCATATTTGTACTGACCTACTGTCACTAGTTTAGTATTTTTAGTAGCTGTTGATTACTAAAAGTGAATTATTCTACAATCAGGGTTGCTTGGTTAATCTACGGAATATAGATTTTATAAGTTTGGGAGAGTCCCTTTTATTTGAATTAATCTTTGTTTTAATCTGAAATGAACAAACATTTATATGGAAATTCTGATTAATCTGATAGGCTTCCATGTCAGGTTGTAGATTTTTCATTGCATTCAGGCTTTAAGAAATAGGCTACTAAATGGATTGTGAGTATGGGTTGAACTAACGTTTTGTCATATTAAGTTTATTTCGGGCCATCGAGTATCTTTATTTTGCAAGACTTAGCTTTAATTTAATTTAACTAACAATAAAGTATGGCTTTTATATTGTATTATCTGACTTTAAGTTGACTGACATATAGCTTCACAGTTTTTATATTTTACTACCAATATTTAATTTCCATGACAACAGCCTCATATACAGCCCTCATATCATAATATTTGACTTGCAAATGTTACTTTTATGATTTGTTCCTTTAATATTTCTAAAGCCATGTAATGATTAATACTTAAGTATGATAAAAAGATGGTAAATGAACAGTCAGTTTCAATTAGCAAAGCAGATACAAAGTTATTGTCTTAGCTATAAAATCACAAAATAGCACAATTTATTAGCAATTAAGGCAATTTAAGAGAACATGGACATCTTGTGAACAACTCATATGCTTTAATATTTCCCATACGGCTGAGCATTTGTTGAAACTTATTTCTAAATTGTTGTAGGTCTAGAAATTTTTTTAAAGTAAACCTCATTCTACCAGGGGACACAAATATAAATTTTGGCAGGGTAGAAGCCATCTTCAGCTGGGACAGTTTTATTTTTCTAACAAAGCACATATGGTTGCCCTTTGAAACAAATTGCCTATAGATATTGTGGAGGCAGTAAATTTAAGTGAATTTAAAATAAAGCTTGATAACTATATGGATGCTAAAGGCTGGCTTTGAGGTTTTTTTTCTTTTTACATAATAGGTTTAGTTCAGTTTAGAGGATGGGACAGCCTAGGTGGACCAATAGGTTCCCTTGTTGTCCCAAAACGTTATATTATAAAATTTACAAGGCTATGTATTCTAGTTATCATAATTTGGATTACACATATAAATGACTCAACAGCATAAAAAAAAAGTTTAACATAGTGAAGGTAAAGTCACTCAGGCCACTGAGGCAGTTTCCTGCTGCTAACAGAAAAACTAAGGTTGTAACAAAGGTTAAATTTTGACCTTCGAAGGTTCCAAAGGTTTAAAACTTCAATAGTAGAAATTTGCCAGATATGTGGATGATGTCACTATAACTATTAGTTTGATTAAAACCCCTTTAATTTTATGGTTTTTTTGTTTGAAATTAAGCACAAAGCTACACAATGGGCTATCTGTGCTCTGCCCACCACGGGTATCGAAACCTGGTTTCTAGCATTGTAAGTCCGCAGAAATACCGCTGTGCCACTGGGGGCTTAATTTTATGGGTAATCTATGTAAATAAGATAAAACATTTGCACCTAATTTAAAAATGTGATATAAAGAAGTGTAATCATGTTTTTAAATTTTGAATAAGAAGTAGGCATTGTTTATGTACATGTATTTGATCCATCCTATTTATAGTATGCTTTCATTACAAAAGCACTTTATTGTAGCCAATTAAAAGAGCCGCAGCCGACTTTTAAAAGCACAACAAATATTTACTTATTAGTCACCATTCCAAGCAGGTTAACAATCACAGTCATTTTATAGCAAAATTGTTGATTAACTAAACATACCTATAGACATAATAATAAGTTGAACAGTTTGACACTAACATTTCAGTTGGAAAATAAATATGAATGTGAACCTCCAACTATAATAAAAAATCTCAAGAGACAGTGCTATTAGCAGTGATATGTTTTTGTTGACAACACTGTTGATTAATTAAGCATACACCTTGGCTAAAGCGATCAGTCAAATGAATAAATAATAATAAATAAACACAGCAAAACAGAACAGAGTAATAGCAACACTTTGGTTAGAAAATATATGTGGACCTTAAACTATAACAAAAAGATTAATAAAAGACAGTGCAGCAGTGAAAAGTATCCAATGTTTAAAGTAACACTTTTCTTACCCCTTATACACTAGGTATTCTGTACATTCTCAAGAACCAACACAGACACTAATTGGGTGTGCCGCGCATCTGTGAAGCTAGCATAGTAATGATTACTGTGATTTTGAATTTCTGTATGTATCTTTACAGCCCCTGGCAAGCTTTTAATGAACAATAAAAGTCTGTTGTATACAAAAAATTAAAGATTTGCTTGTGAATTTCTAAAGCCTTTACTGAGTCAATCTGAGTGAAAGTTGGTATTCATGTCAAAAATAAAAATATTTGTTTTCAAACTATCATCTTACACTTTTCTTATTTCATTTACAAAACACCTAGAACCTCCTGAGTGAATATAAAAAGTATTTCAGTAAAGCTTTATATTCTATATGTTATTTTTTCTAACATAACACTAACTGTAGTGACATCTTCAAAATACAGTGGAACAACAATTTGAAAAATATGAAATTAAATCAAAAATTGTAATAGATATATTTACAGTTATTTATCCTAATAGCTTCAGCTTTCTGTATCTGCTTTCATTTGATTTTATGGTTTTAACTCTACTTTGAACCCTCTCTCGGTATGTGAAGATTTACAATATCTGTCTCATTGATATTTTGCAATAATTATAAGTTTTATTTCTTCATCTTTAATTTACAGAGTTCATGATACTTTGTACAGTTTAGACTCAAACATTACAAAGCAAAAAATATAGTTATTGTTTCATAAAATGTAGCATAAGCTAAAATTTGTCATCCTTGGTAATGTTGAAATTGAGGTCTCAATAAAGACTTGGAAATTCTGTTTCAGCACTGTTCCAGTTCTTCATAAGAGAGTAATGAACAAAAGAAAACTTCAATGGCAAGTCAGTCGTTGAAAGCTATACTAGTTTTTAAACACTCTGAACCATTTAGAAACTGATGATAGCAATGGCTATAAAGGTCATACACCCATTACATCTTCTGGAAATACTGGTGAAAATACCCCGCATAGTAAAAATACCAGGGAGGATTTAAAAGATCATGATAAAAATCCAGGTTCTGTTAATGGCCTTCCAGAAGAGGAACATGAAAATGACAATTTTGTAAGAAGTCCATATCCCTAAAAAAGTGATTTATTTCATGAGTGGCAAGGTCTTGATAGTGGAGATGATAATGAAATTAACACAAAAGAAGATGAACAAATAAATCAATATTCAACATGACTTAGCAGCGTGGGTTCTTCAATTTAATATTATACATTCTGCCCTTTCTAAACTATTGAGAGTTCTATTCTTGTAAACTCAAAAATGCATCATTAGAAACAAGCAGATCACCTATATATATCATACCTGTTTGTGTACCATTTTCTTCAAAATAAAGTTTATCCATAACTTTTATCATCCAGCCATAAATGTTTACATATTGTACTTCATTATGCAATCTCTGAGAATTAATCTTTCAGTATTTCATTACTTCTCAATGTACTATTATACATGAAATATAATTTATTTACTCATTGAAGTGTGATTTGTATGTTTTTTATTCAGAAATAGAGAAACCAACAATATTTTTTAAAATTAAGAAAAGTTTCAACTAAGTCTTAGAAAAGTTAATATCTGATGTCACAAGGAGAGGTAGTTGTGACATTTCTGAGTCTTCACTTTTGACTTGTCTGTGATGTCACAATGAAACATACATTTAGGAGGTAACTTGTGATGTATTGGAGAGGTCACATTCATTGGTGGGATATCCTGAATCTTTGTTTACAAAATTGTACCATAAAAGTTTATTTGTATCAACTGAATTGTATTGAACTGTTATAGAAATAATGTTGTGCTTCTATCACAGAACCAATAAAACATTCCTATCTCAGGAATGATCATATACTCCCAAAGACTTAAATTATAAGTGTGTTTTAATTTTGATGATAAATTTTTAAAAGAGCTTTCAATGTAAGTTCTAGGAAAACAAGAGAAAAATGCACTTCACTCAACAGCTTACATTAAGATTATTATCTAAAATTAATTTTGGTATTTTAACCTTAATGAAGGGAACACACAAATGCAACAGCTTAAGAAAATTGCAGAGAGGGTACAGAACTACTCATACATATCTTGAGGAGATTTCACAGTTTGGATAGTGCTACTCATAAAAATCTTGAGAAGAATCAACATTTTGTATAGCACCACTCAAATGCATATTGAGGAGATTACACAGATTGTATAGCAAAAAAATAATGAGGAGATTTCACCAATTAGTATAGGACTATTCATAAAAATATCAAGGAGATTCGTAGAATGATTAGGCCTATTCATAAAAATCTTGAGAAGATTCCAGAGTTTATATAGTACCATTCTAAAAAATCTTGAGCAGATTCCACATCTTGTATAAAACTACCACTAACAGAAGAGATTCCACAGTTTGTATAGGACTACTCATAAAAATTGAGGATATTCCACAGAATGAACAGGACTACTCATAAAAATCTTGATGATATTTCACAATTTGTATAGGACTACTCATAAAACCGAGAGGAGATTCCACAGGTTGTACAGCATAGAAATATTGAGAAGATTACACAGGACTTGATCTGCTTAGTTTTGTTTCAATCCATATTTCACATTAATGTTTGATCCTTATGTTATTTTTCCTAACTGACTTTATGAATGACACACAACACCTAAAAGTTACAACACATAGCATGTTTATAATGTGTTTAACTATCCACCCCACCCCCCTATGTCACTCCCCAAGGAAACTATGGGTACATACCAAGTTTGATGACAATTAGTAGAGTGGTTCACCATGTTATGACAGCGGAAGTCACGCGATGCTGGGAGCATGTGCATTGGAGTTTCTAGAAGGATCATGACTTAACGGGGAACCTCGCGAATGTCCCAGTGTTTGCTAAATGCCCTCTTTTTTTAGTATATAAGCCAGCGATAGATAGATATACACATAGATTGAAGATAGAGATAACTGAGTCAAGCAAACAGTAGGCACCGTAAGTAAAGTGTGTGAATCACTGTGATTTAAAGTGTGTTATAAAGGTTGTTAAGTTTAAAGTGACTGTGGAAATTAACGAGAAAGAATAAACTAGTTTTAATCAAGAACGGACTTGTATTGCTGAAGTCACTCAGAAAGAATTGTTACTGGAAATTATCAAACAAGCAGATATGTAACAACCAGTTACAAACAGACATAAAGCACAGTAAAGTTACTCCCTAGGTCCTGTGGGTTGTGGCAGGCTTGGTCCCAAACTTTTGTCAAATAATAGTATAGATATGCTCATCCTATATAGTCTAGCTAGTTTGATGTTCACATTTGCTTTTTTTTACACTGCATCAGACCACAGAGATAGATAATAAAGGTTACTGATAGAAATGTGCTCAATATCTTAGATTATTGCTTTAAATGAATTACAGAAGAATGAAGAATTCTTTAACTAAATGCTAGATAATCATCCACCTATTTCTTTTTACAAGTATTTAGCTTGTGGTTACTTGAGTAACAATTAAACACTTTTACATATAGCTTAATGGAGCTACTTAATTTGATGACTGCATTAATTCACATTTTTATCAATTTAAATGAATCAGTTATTACTAAAATAAAGTATGCAAGACAGAGAAAAATATTATTCTATGGAATTTACAGAAGTCCAGAGAAGCTTACATCTTCTTGGCTTTGTGACCACAGGCGTGCTTGCTTCACTTGGTGTTCCTGGTCCAGCCTTATTGACGGCTCGAACACGAAACTCCAGTGGTTGACCTTGTATGAGATCTGGAACAGTAGCTTTGGTTCGAGTGGCTGGAACTTCCAATGCTTTCTCCCAGTCACCAAACTTGTCCTTCTTTTCTATGATATAGCCAGTGACAGGAGAACCACCATCACTTTCAGGTGGTGTCCATTTAAGATCCACATGGTCTTTGTCCCAGTCAGTTGGTTCTGGTTTTCCTGGTTGGCCTGGCTCATCTAGATGTAAGGTAAAATTAGAAACAAAGTTTTTAAGATATGCTTGAGTTGATTTTCTTCTGGCTGTTCCTGCATCATGAAAACAATTCAGCAGGTAGCCCAAAATATTATAAAAATTACGGGCACATGCAAAGATTGTAGAAAATACTGACAACAAAATTAGAAATATCTTATAAAATCTGTATTTATACACCATGATAACATCAATTTGAATCATATAAGATCGTTAGTTATAGTACCCATAAAAAAACTTCAAAAATGTAATATTTAAATTCCTCTATTTGTTAATCTAATACAAAAAAAAAACTAAAAAATATAGTTATAAAAACAGATCATCATGATTAGATATTTTTTAACAGATATAAATTATAACATTTTGTGGAAGATTACATTTATTAAGTTGATAAACAATTAGTTCACAGTAAATAAGGAAAAGAAAACTTTGAGTGAAATTTAAGTAACGTTCCGTTCACTGTATTTCTACCTAGTTAACAACACTTTCTAACATACCATATGGATTCTTTGCTTTAATAGGTTTCTGTGTTTCTAGGGGTTCAGATTCACCCTCCTTATTTAAAGCTCTAACCCTGAACTTGTAGTCTTTGCCTGTAGTAAGCCCTGTTACTTCCATAGCTAGAATGAAAACAATGAAATAAATGTATCAATACCTATCAAATAAATATCACATCATTATTTTTTAGACTACAGGAAAATCATCTGCTAAGAATTAAAATATATTTAATTTTTTTAACAATACAAAACAGTATTTTGAAGTTTCAAGAATACACAAGATGCTGCCTGACACATACATCACCATCAACTTAGTCCAGGTATCTTAAACTAGAACTTCACAAGGTGACTTGAAATTGATTTACCAGAATGCACTTTCTATGTCTCATTACCTGGTTCCTTTTGTTTCCCTACAGGAACCCAAACCCCTGATTCTGGATCCATCTTCTCCACTTCATACCCTTCAAGTGGCACACCTCCATCATCCTTTGGTCGTTTCCATTTTAGTCTGCATCCTTCTTTGTGAACATCCAGAACTTCAAGCGGTCCCTCTGGAGGAGTTGGCTTATCTATACCCCAAAGAGAAATTTTCAAGTTAAGACTAATGCTGTAATCAATTTCTGTACATAAAAGTACAGACAAACAAACAGCAATGTTCATAACACTATACATGCTACCATTAACAGTATTGGTTACAATGTGTAATGTTTCTATTTTATTACTATTATTTTATTGTTATATTTTTATTATACAAATGATTTCACATTTTTAGATTAGTATATATATTTATAACTAACCTAAGCCTATTGGGCTGGCCAATCCATATAAGATATTATTGAGTTTATGCCAAAAATGCTGTTAATAGTAAGGATACCCAACTGATGAAATAATGCATTCTAATCTTTATAAGTAAGAACATAAAAACAGTATATTTAGTTAAATATACTCACTATTGGGTTGATTGTTTTTTTTTATCTATGTAGGTAGCTTGCTCTGATAAAAAGTTGATATTAATGTATAACTATTTAAGACTACAATAGTGCTTTCACTGTACAAGTAGAACATAAAAATTCTCACATGAACCACTTATTTTTTGATAAAATACTAATTAGAGTAACTTTTTTTTTAAATAAACAATTCCTGAATTGGGCAAATACTAACATTAATAACACCACTCTAAACATTTTCAACTGCTATTCATGTAACAGAGAAAAAATATACAGATCTTGAATTGATTCTGTGTTTGTAACAACATCTAGTATTATTTGTGGATAATAATTAGATTTTGCTACCCAGGGGCACAGGTGAAGAATATAACTGACAGAGCAAGAGATATAATAAAGGGGGCTAGCAATGATGCAGTTTTTGTTGTGCATATAGGGGCTAATGATGAAGAGAAAGATACGTTAGAAGAACTAATTAATAAGTAAAAGGGGTTATTTAATTTCTATATGCATATTGGTGTAAAGAAGACAGATTAATACTAAAAATAAACAACTTTATAACACCAAAATGTTATTCTTATTTAATTAGACACTCAACATTTCACTTTACAGCTTCTTCAGGAGTTTTTGCTAAAACACAAACCAAAACTGACAGTACAAAGCTTCAAATGGTCTAAATAAGCTTTGTACTGTAAGTGTTGGTTTGTGTTTCAGTGAACACTCCTGAAGAAGCTGTAAAGCAAAATGTTGAATGTCTAATTAAATAAAAACAACATTTTGTAGTTATAAGGTTGTTTATTTCTAGTATTAGCAAGTACAAGAGGTTGATAAAGGCATTTAAAGAAAAAAGTCATAACTTAATTGTGTCAGGGATACTGCTGAGAATTAATTGTGGTGATGAAATTATGAGTAGGTCACTAAGGCTAAATGCTAGGCTTAGGTTAATATATAAGGATGAGCAGATAGGCTGTTTCCACTTGTGGGATCAGTTTAATGGCAGAAGAGAGCTTTTTGGAAGGGTAGGATCTGCCTTGTCTGCAAGGGTTATTAACTCAGTTGTAACAGAAGATTTAAACTAGGACTAGATAGTGGTGAGGGCCAGGATAACCTAAATGCAAAAAAAAGATGTAGAAAAAGGTTTAGCATAGGAAATAAGTATAGAAGAAGTTA